CATAAAATTAATTAGCAATGAGTATTATTACTACAGTATTGGATGTCATAATGAGAATCACTGGTATTTTTAAAGACCATTTCTCTCTAGGCATAAGATAACAAAAAAAAAAGGTGTCTCATTTTATAATGTTGTCTAATGCTTGTTGACTGCTCTAGACTCAAAATTCCATAAATAAAAATGTCCAAGATTTATTGAACAAGTTGCTTAATAAAAACCCCATAAATATAACAAATCTTATAAACATTATACAATGTATATTTATACAGTATGTGTGTGTAGTAACACAGAAAAGTGAGGTCTAGCTGCTGCTTTTGTTTTTTAAACAAAAGAAAATTCCCTACAGGTTGTAACTTTTGCAGCACAAAATGTCTTTTCTGAGTCTCTTACTTGGTGTCCCTAATGGCTATTCAGAGCTGGCAGTTTCACTTTACCTCTTTTCCTGAATTTGCCTTTGAGGTATCTGTTCTATAATCTCTTCCTTTTGTCCCAAAATACTCTGTATTTTTAAAAAATATTTCTCTCCTCTACTACTCTCTGATTCCCTGCTTGCTTCTTGCTTTTATATTGTCCCGGGTGGAGTCATGTTAAAGTACTGGGGTCATGTTACTGTTTCTTTCAAAATCTTTAGCATTTTGTAGTTTTCTTAAGTGAGTTTCTCTACAATGGAAAAAATTATGGTGTCTGGGCTGAAATATTATATTTCTGGTTAGGTTCCTACAACTAAAATTCATGCTGCAATACATGGGTATTAAATCTATACTGTTTTAATATTTTGTGCCTTAATTTATTCCATATTTACATGTACTGTATGTAACCTGTGCTGCATGTACTGTATGTGAAATATGTATTTTGCACTGACATGAGATGCACATTTATTTTACAATCAAATGAAAAGTATATACACTACAGTATATATACACTGTAATATTTAACAACTAGGCTGGATATATTGTATAAGATCCCATGCACATAACCAGCTCACAAAACCATGCCTCATCTAGGTTCCAATGACCCGCAAAGACCTTTAAGGAGAATCAACACAGGTTGCACCACTCGTCATCCATGGTGGTGAAGAACATCCTATATGCATTTTTCCATGTGTCATAGCGGCAATGTTGTACCATAGGCAGCTTTCATTTATGTGATTATTTTCTGCCAGCCTCTGCTAAAGCTCAACAGACAAATGGAAAACAGTAAAAAATGATAGGAGAACACAACAACAATGTAAAAACCTTAGCCATTCATCTTGTTTGTCTGGTCCCAAGATACTTAGGAAATTGGATTTAAAACTTGACTTGCCAAATGTTTTATGGTAATGCAACACCTTTTCTATAAGGTGTACTTTTGTATACCTATAGTATTTTTATAAAACAGTATTATTGTCTGAGAAATGAGTGTAGAAGACATTAAAGCCTTGGTGACCCTCTTC